GAGAAATTGTCTCCGCCCTCAGTCGGCAGCAGCCTGTCAAGACGAACTGCGTACCGAACTTTCGCTGTCTTGTCTAATGACACTGTGCTCCAGTGGAATAGGATCTCGGCCACCATGCACAACGCAGGAGCATCTGCTTGTGGCACTATCCATCGTCCACAGCACCAGTCACTGGATATCCGAGAGGTCGGTGAACCTGTTGGAATCAAGAAGAAACCTCCCGGCTGGCTCTGAGCACAATGTGACCAGACGGGCTATTAGGCGCGAACTAAAGTGGAGCCTACGTGCTGACAAGGAAGCCTTGTGGACCAGTCGGGCTGAAGAAATGGAGGAGGTAGGAGCAGTAGGCAATTACGCAATCACTTCCAGTTGATCCGCTCCACTGGTCCCAGGAAACCAGGCGTCAGAGAGATAAGCAAAGACGGCGAAGGTGCACTGATACACAATAATAGCGCCGTATGGCTCGTTGGGCGGAACACTTTCAAGATAAGTTCAGCTGACCCCTGCTCCCGGACCTCTTCCTACTCAGGTGATGCAGGACGAGCCATGGACGGTTAGTTTAGAGCCTCCGTCGGAGGCCGAGGTCCGAAACGCGATCACAGCCCTCAATCGTTTTCGTGCCGCTGGCCCGGATTCCTTCCAACCTGCACTATTTAAGGATGGAGGTGAGGTCCTCTGCAAAGCACTGACCTCCCTATTCGAATGTATCTAGAATCGAGTGTCCCGGCTAATTGGAGCGAATCGATTATAGTGGCAATATACAAGAAGGGCAGTCGCACAGACTGTTCTAACCACAGGGGTATTAGCCTAACGCCAGTTGTGACAAAATTACTGGCCTCGATTATCGTTCGTCGCCTCACTGCGGAACGGGAATCTCGGATTAGGGAAGAGCAGGCCGGTTTCGCCCAGGACGTGGCTGTATAGACCATATATTCACTTTGCGGCAGGTGCTAGAGCAGCGCCACACATACCGCAGACCGACAATAGCTGTGTTCCTCGATTTCAAGAGTGCGTTCGATTCAGTCGATCGATCGATTCTGTTCGAAATACTTGCGCGGAAAGGTGTTCCCACGTAATACGTGAAAATCCATCGTGCTCTATACTCGAACACTACATGCCGCGTCAGGGTCTACGGCGATTTGTCTCATAGCTTTCCGACAACAACTGGCGCTCGTCAAGGTTGTCCGATTTCCCATTTTTGTTCAATTTCGTCGGTGGACTCTATCATTGAGTGTTCTCTTGCGGAATCTCACGATGTAGCCGTTGAGGTCCTGCCTGGTGAAAGATAGTTGATCTTGTTTATGCGGACGATATCGTCTTGCTTTTCGACGATGTTGCGGTGGCACAATCAACCCTGAATAGCCTGTCTAGAGTGGTCCCATTATTTGGTATGCACTTCGCACCTTCAAGGTGCAAAGGATTGCTGCAGGACCACCAGCCACGTTATGACCCCTTGACCTTTGCTAACGAGGAACTCGAGGTGGTTGATCAATTCACTTACCTTGGCAGCTGCATCAGCAACGATGGGCACATAGAAACTGACGTCAACTCACGCATTACAAAGGCTAGAGCTGCCTTCTTGAACCTGCGGCATCTTTGGCGACAGAAGGGAATTTCCCTTGATCTGAAGGCCGTGTATATGACGGCCACAGTGAGGCCGTTCTGGTCCTTTGGGAGTGAGGCCTAGGTCTTTTCGGTCTGAAATCTGAGTTCCACCTTCAGTCATGGTTTCATCCTTGTTTGCGAAAAGCATTACTGGTATCAGGTGGCACCAGCTGTGTCGCATTGATGATGTGCATAGAGGCGGGTCAATGTACTATGGTACGTGATAATCATGTAGCTCTCTAGGAACGACAGATCAGCATCCGAATACCGTTCTGCGTTGGCCCTTGTGAGCTCCAGCTGTACGGGTTTTCTCTGTTGCGCCGCAGCAGACATCAATGAACGCCGCTGATGGTGTCGGAAAATAGATTGGGCGACAAAGGCGCAACGCTTCCTGGCGAAAGTCTCAGGAGTCCGAGGGGCTAAGTCTTGGCTACATTATAATAAATGCCAGAACTTGGCAGTCAAATTACAGTGACATGCGAGATGCTGCTGTAAGCTTAGGTTAGCTCAGAATGCAACAGCAATACCGGATGTACTACAGTTATGTTCAATCTAAGACTACCTTGAGTAAGGGGATTGGTAACGGATGACGGTAGTCTTACTACAGAGATGTTGCTGCGCGTCTTTCAGGATGTATATTATGCGGATAACCGGGGTTCTATCCCATCATAGCCTCATCATTAACTTGATAGCATGATACCATCAAATGTCCTTAGTCTCTTACCAAGCTTAGGCCTCTACAAATCGGCTGGACCTAATGATGTGCATCCTGCCACTGTCAAGCCGCTCGCTAAAATACTAAAATACGACCTCAGAATATTGTGTGTAGGCTTGCCCACCTTATCTCCGAAAGGATGTTATTTTCATAGAAAAGGTCAAAAATTGGCGACTAGGATAATTAATGGCCGGTGTGAGAAGTCACATGATGAACGCCTTAAAAGCCTAGGGTTGTTTTCCACGGAACGGCGCAGATTGAGAGGCGACCTGACAAAAATGTGCCAAATTATAAATTGCCTCAGTGATATCAGGCTTCCCGACCTGTTTGAACCGGCTGCTTCTGATCACCTGCGGGGGCATGGACTTAAGATCCAGCGTCATAGGTACAGGCTAGAAATTAGGGCCTAATTCTGCGAATCTTGTAGTCCCTACTTGGAACAAGCTTCTGCTCTATTGGAAGTACCACTGTAGAAACCTTCCAAAAAGCCTACATAAGTGTTGGTTGCATCATTTCCCGAAATTATTGTAAGTTTACTGACAATTGTCAAACCGCGTGCTCCGTGATCCAAGAAAGCACAGGGGTTACTCTTGTTCTTGTTTCACCTCTTTTGCAGAAGTAAGGGAAGCAACCCTAACGTCGAAGTACCGGAGGCCCTGGTTTGCTTGACGGCACAAGAAACAGGACGCTCGTTAGGCAAGTCTATTACCTTCCATGAAACCTGACCTGACCCGAATTTGGTCTTGGTTGCTGCTTCCACTCCCTGCTTGGGATCTCAGAAGCGATGGACATGGGTGGTCGGATGCAATTGTTGACATGACCAGGAGCCGACTTTAGTGGCGTTTGTGTTGTGAGCTTCTTTGTCATACTAATATCAGAATCTCCTTATTGATGCATAATACCAACAAAGCACAACACTGCTTTTTGTTTCCGCTTTTACCTATCTTCACGACCATTCACTTAACTTTATTTCGACGTAATGACTAAGCTGCTCCTCATCTACAGCAGTAGAGTGATGAATGATGATGATTTGCTCGTAGCATTTAGTTTTTACAGTAGACCTCTCTTTTTATAGGTAATTATGATTGTCTAGTGTTGATGCCTCGGTTCAGGTCATGTGTATGCTATTGTTACTGTTATCATTATGATGGCCCCTCATTCCAACACTTGGTTTCAACCCCTACGTATTTCTTAACTTTCCCCCACGGCTCCTACGCAGTCCAGTGTGACTTTATCATTTCTTCTTTTGAATTTTTCTGCTAATCTCTTTAAACGCAACTTAACCCCTTTTGGTGTTGCTTCGCATCTCGCTTCTATAACACTTGTTCACCGTTTCGTGTTAGGCTGATTCACGTTTGTGTCACTGAGTGTGATGGGAGTTTCCAGTCAGAGTGAGCAGATGGACGAGTCAGATAGCCGATGAAAGATGAACGGTTTCACTCACTGGATGCGCCAGGCTTAGCCGCAGTCCTCCGTTCAACCCTCTTATATGCTTGTGAAACCTGGCCCATCGCTGCCTTCGCAGCTTAGCTCATGTCTGGTGAGAACACCGCGTGAGCAATGATTGTGTTCGGCGTCGCGTATTTGGTGCAGAATGACCCAGTGAAACGCTCAGCACCATTCAATCATGCACCTGGCTCCGATGGCTGATATGCGTGTTGCGCATACTAGCACACCGACTCTCGCGATGTGCATTGTTTGTTCGCCCGGTGTCTGTATAGAAGAAGAGGAGAGGTGATCAAGCGCTGAAGCGCAGGAAGGATGAAATCCCCTCACTACGAAGTTGGCGTCGGTTGGTACATCTCGACTGCCTGGCTGGGGTCCGGAGGACGATGAACACGTTTACTTGGACACACTTGCTAATATGGCGAAGAACCAGCCCCAGTGGCGTTTGTGTTGTGTGTTTCTTTGTCTACCCCTCCTCCCTTTAGACTCCCTATCCAATTGCGATCTCTTGCGAAATACATAATATAATGGAAATATTTACGTGTTGCTCTTCACAACACTGGCACACCAGTGTTGGGAAGAGCAACACCCAAATATTTCCATTTAGGATACGGTCTTCGAGATCGGAATGACCGAAATTTACCTCAAAGTGAACCGAGGTCTCAATAGAGGTTGCGCGTCGCAACCCAACCACACAGCGTGCTCTCCAAATTCAGCTTTGAATTACGTAATATAATATTTAACCTTATATTACTTGCTTTCCGAACCTTTTATATACCCTAATTTTTAGTATCTTATCGCTTTTGTATTGCGACATATTAGCTGCGGTGTTTGTCACCCTCAGCCAACGTGTATTGATGATGATGATGAGGCTTAGCCGCCACTTGCACAACTACGCTGCTTTACATAACTTCTTGTGCACTTCAGTTTTTTCCTCTTAAATTGCTTAACCGAATCAAAGGAAGAACCTCATCGGCCCAGGACTTCGTTATTCGTAGAAAAGCAGATATTATATATACGAACGCATTTTACTGGTCGGACGTGATGTAATTTCCGCTCGTCTGCCTTCGCTAAATAAATCGCTTATCTCTAGCTGACTGGCTTTTGTGGCACAGGGTTTTACCGTTTGTTATGTGTGCAGCTTTCCATTGTGCGTTTTCCATTTTAGCACTCCGGATTTACTTCTACTCCCATTGTAATCAGTGCATGATATACGCGAAACGCTTTATCTCCCATGTTTCTCATCGGTTAGTGATTATATTTCTTCTGTAGAAGCTTCCTTTTAGCTTGTTTCACGTACTTCTTGAGTCTTTCAGTGCTTGTATCATGCAGCCATCACTCTGCTATTCCAATCATGGGACAATTTTCTTCCAACGACAGGCAGTCACTTAGATTATTCTTCGATTTACACACTCCCGATTCTGCCAAGGATCACACGAAACTCTATCATATCTTGATGGGCTTGTATTCCATTGGTGAAAATATAAAGGAAAAGACCAAGTTTTGTTCCACCTTCCTGGCTCCAATAACAACAACTGATTTTGCACTTCACCATTCATACGGTTTAACGAGGTTGGGCCTACTAGATTGCAAGGTAACTATCCGTTTTGCTTAGCTTTTTATTCGATTTGCTTTTCCGTTTATTTCGTGTTTTCACGCTATTATATTCAGGCATAAAATACTACTTCTTCCCTATCATTTCCTACCCCAGCTTTGTGGTTGGCTGGCATGTTTGATGATCAGGATACCCCACTAGATAATTCATGGTTTTTCGGCTTGGTTTGCTGATGCACTAAAGGACAATCGTAGTTCATCATTGCGCAACCTTTATCTTCCTCATCTCTTAACCGCAACCGCATTCACGTTAGAATCTCTTGAATACTCTCGTTTCACCACGCTGTTCGTTAGTTACTATTTAGTTCACGCAGTTTGTCAACTACGACCTGCTCACCGCAGTGCGGTGAGTCTCCGATTGCCTTGACACCGTCGCCAAAAGTGTTACTGTCATCGTTGATTGGTGTGTTGTTTCGAATTACTCGTGTGCATGGATTGCGACACGTCATCACAATATCGGCTACGATTCACATTGAAGTGAGCCTTGGTCAATTTTACCACTGACGCCGTAACTGTCGAAGCAGGTGAATATTGTGTGTTGCCCGCTCAAAAACACTGCACTCCATCACCAGTTTCGAATATATTTGTCCGCTTCAGGTAGAGATAACATGCATAAAAGAACTTTAAATCGTTAGGCTGGATAGTCAGGAATCTGGAGTAAGAATGAATGTGAAATCTCCGCTACTTTACCGTGCTATATCTGATATGGTATCAATTCACTGATGTGGGCGGTTTTGAAGACCCCATCTGGGACGACGACAAGCACCAACCCGACTCAGACATTTGGCGAGTTTCTTCATGCTTCTTTATCATGTTAGTGGCCGGCCCGTAGTCCTAAGGCTCACAATCCTGCTTTGTGCTCTGAGGGCGCGAGTTCGAGCCTGCGTAGGGATCGGGCGACCGTCCCAGTATCCTTAGCGCACGTGCGACTGGTAGTGGTTGCGTGGCAACGAAGCGTCGGTACTGCATACCGGCGTACTGCTGATGCTTTTTCTTCTTTCATCTCATTGACCGATCACCTCTGGGTTTCACCCAACTCGGCTCAGTACTGACAAACAGTACACGCCGATGCAACCGGCTCGCGACTTAATGCACTGGAGGGTCTGGTGTCAGATACCGCCTGATGCACTTCTGGACTACTTTATTGATTCTACCACCAAATATGAGCAGTAGTTACTTCCACTTTTATCCAGCTCTTTGTCAACCAGACGCCCTGTCTTTTTGTTTCTCCATACTTGACAAAACTAACTCGTAGCATAACATAGTCAACCGATTGGGTAGTGTTGTTGTCAGACTACTTCATGGTAAACATGAATCCTATATCTATTTCATTTTTATAACTAAGGATGTCTAACCAGAGCGCACACGTTGCTGCCCAATCCGTGGGTTCAAACTTTTTTTAATACTGTTTCTCACTTTCTAAGGGTAATCCATTATTGCGGCGGAAAGCCAAACAAATAGTTGCTAAATCTTAAGACATGAAAAATAACTACATCACCTCTGTATGTCGACCAGTGTGATATGTCGAATTTTGCAGACCACAGGCGTCGAGTCGCTTCTCGGACCACTTCAGTTCAGAGTGAAAAGTACCCTGCGGACACCACGGTGCGACGTCTTCATTGACAACGCTTGCTACCGTCATTGCAGTGGAAACAAGAGTAACCCATGCGAGTAACACAAATCTATACTCATGTTCTATTCCATTTTATATTGTCGCACTTATAGAGCTGTGCTTATCGAGTGGAAAGTTATTGCTGAGAATAAACCGACTTCAAAATCACGACTAAGCAGTGTAGGTAAGATCTAATGATGCATTTAACCGGTCCTCAGCCTCCCCACTGGTTGCCAGCACGCGCCGATTTGACCAATCTCTGCCTTCAATTTATTCATAACTTGCTGTCATGTCATGACAGATAATGGCAGGCCGACTGTGGACGGGTTATAATTAATCAACTCAACTCAATTCCCACAAGGTGCTCATACGGTCGCTGAATTGTAGACGTTTCATCATCAAACGGGGTTGCTTCTCCAGTGTGTGACAATGGATCCTATTGATACGCACTAGTAATGTCACGTACTTCACGAATCGTTTTCAGCCTAGCCGCAAGGCTCAATAGTCACATGAATGGCTAACTTTGGCCACTGGCATCTTGATCTATAGATTTAGTTTGTTACACATGACACTGTTGGAAATTGCTCAACTCCAGAAATCAGAAAAATGCTTAATGTCGTTGTATATTTACAGAGCCTCCGCTGAGCACAGGTAAATGTTGCATCGCATCAAGTAGTACAGGTACACCGAACGTTTCAGTTTCTGCACTCTCAGAAGACACTACTTGGCTCAGCAATCACTTCATCTGAATTCGAAGATGAATATTTATACGACACATTTAGCAGTGTTCCAGTCTTCAGCCAACGGTCCATGTTATAGATCCAAACGCTGAAATAGGCACAACTACTTTAACACAAAATCCAGAACACGCCTTGAATTTAATTACTATGATAAGTTGGACTTTGGCTGAAATATAAAATAAAGTAAACAACACTGCCACCTTTTTGTAACGTTGCTGAGATAGTTCGCTTCAATGTGCCCGTCGCAACGAGACTGGGCCTTAACGTGATGCGACTATTTGCGTACCTCCTTGACTCATTGACCTATACTGGGTGGTGCGTGCTGGCATCTTGAGAGCTACTCCTACCAGGTTGGTCAATGGTGAGAGGTCAGACAAACTCAGTCTCCTGATGCTCCAGGTTGCGGGTTTGAAATGGGATGGCGTACATTTCTGTAAAAGTAAATCATTGCCACCTGCCCGCTACCTTGCGGACAGGCTTTTGAGCCAAATGTCTTGGATGAGGACCCTAATCGTCCTCCTGTCTAGGTCTGGGCACCCTGGCAGTATCTCAGCCCACATACAACCATGACATTTTCTTCAAACATAAACTTCATCCTGCATCGGCCGTCGCACAGACTATCAAGGGTCGCCTTATCTGCTGCATACAGCAGAGCGGATAAGCGAAAACATGCTACTACTGGCGCCTCCTTTCTTTTTCACCGTACTTACTTACTTACTTACTTACTTACTTACTTACTTTACTTACTTACTTACTTACTTACTTACTTACTTACTTACTTACTTACTTACTTACTTACTTACTTACTTACTTACTTACTTACTTACTTACTTACTTACTTACTTACTTACTTACTTACTTACTTACTTACTTACTTACTTACTTACTTACTTACATACTTACTTACTTACTTACTTACTTACTTACTTACTTACTTACTTACTTACTTACTTACTTACTTACTTACTTACTTACTTACTTACTTACTTACTTACTTACTTACTTACTTACTTACTTACTTACTTACTTACTTACTTACTTACTTACTTCTTACTTACTTACTTACTTACTTACTTACTTACTTACTTACTTACTTACTTACTTACTTACTTACTTACTTACTTACTTACTTACTTACTTACTTACTTACTTACTTACTTACTTACGTACTTACTTACTTACTTACTTACTTACTTACTTACTTACTTACTTACTTACTTACTTACTTACTTACTTACTTACTTACTTACTTACTTACTTACTTACTTACTTACTTACTTACTTACTTTACTTACTTACTTACTTACTTACTTACTTACTTACTTACTTACTTACTTACTTACTTACTTACTTACTTACTTACTTACTTACTTACTTACTTACTTACTTACTTACTTACTTACTTACTTTTTCACCTCACTCCCATCCCGACCCCCATTATTAACCTTCCTTCTATAATTCCCAGCTTAATTGACAGCAACCGAAGTGCCACTGGAGTAGAACAATCTGCAGCCACCTTCTCGCGACACACACCGGACGCCTATCGGCAACAGTCCCTTATAAGGCCACTCTGTCCCGTTTCCATGGCGACGTTCAACGTTCGCACTCTAAGACAAGTAGGTCAACAGGCTGCACTTGCACGCACCTTGGACACACTGGGTATTGATGTGTGTTGCGTATCCTAAATTAGGATCACTGACCCTAATAGGGTTGTTGGATTAACTGCACCCGGCTTATCCTCTCGTTATTGGTTGCACGCATCCGGAGACGCCGATGCAGCACTCACGGATCAAGCTGGTATAGGTATCATACTAAGCTCCAAGGCTGAGCTATTGTTGGTTGCTTGGATTCCTGTAAACAGCCTTTTATGTGCAGCCCGTTTGACGACATCAGCCAGGGTTGATTCACGTAGTAGTACAAAACGCTGTTTGTTTGTGATTTCCGCTTGTACTCCCACCGACCGCAGTTCAAATGCTGTCAAGGGCACGTTCTACCACGAACTGAACGCGCTACTACACAATGCTACTAGTTCAGATATCATAGTTCTTGCAGGGGATATGAGCGCACAAGTTGGGCGTCTGAGCTCTTCAGAAGCTCAGCTGGGTGGTAATTATGGGCTTAACTCCGAACGGACTGACAACGGCAAGCTTCTGCTAAAACTATGTGCGGAGCACCAGTAGTTTCTTAGTAGCACTGCTTTTAGACACACTGGGCGCCGAAGTGCCACTTGGCGTCCCACTGTAGCTGACCAGCGATGGACCAAAATTGATCTTTACCGGGAAGCGCACCAAGCCTCCTCTTCGATTGGCAACTGAGAAATTGTCAGCCCTCAGTCAGACAAGCCTATCAAGACGCACTGCATACCGAACTTTCGCTGTCTTGCCATAATGACACTGTGTTTCAGTGGAATAGGATTTCTGCCGCCATGCACGATGCAGAGACATCTGCTTTTGGCACTATCAATCGTCACCGCACCAGTCACTGGATATCCGAAAGGTCGGTGAACCTGTTGGAATCCAGATGAAACCTCCCGGCTGGTTCTGAGCACAATGTGACCAGACGGGCTATTAGGCTCGAACTAAAGCGGAGTTTACGTGCTGACAAGGAAACCTGGTGGGTCACTCGGAC